AAATATTCATTTGATATTACGTTTAAAAGATTTTCAAAATAAAAATTTAATTACAGAATACAGTAATTAAATACATGACAGATGGTATTCTCCTGAGGGAATCCTTACGTGAATCTGACTTAGACAACTACAGTGCCATCATTATGGATGAAGCTCACGAAAGATCATTGAGTACAGATGTATTATTTGGTTTATTGCGGGAAATTATTGCCAGGCGGCATGATTTAAAACTAATTGTAACCTCTGCCACTATGGATGCTGGAAAATTTTCAACTTTTTTTGGAAACGTTCCGAGTTTTACTATTCCAGGACGGACTTTTCCAGTAGAACTTTTTTTTAGTAAAAATCCTGTAGAAGACTATGTGGATGCTGCCGTAAAGCAAACTCTTCAGATTCATTTGCAGCCTACCCCTGGGGATATTTTAATTTTTATGCCTGGGCAAGAAGATATTGAAGTGACCTGTGAAGTACTTTCTGAAAGACTTGGGGAAATCGATAATGCTCCCCAATTATCGGTTCTTCCAATTTATTCCCAATTGCCTTCCGATTTACAAGCAAAGATATTTCAAAAGTCTACTGAAGGTTTAAGGAAGTGTATTGTAGCCACAAATATAGCAGAAACATCACTGACCGTTGATGGAATAATGTTTGTTGTGGATTCCGGATATTGTAAATTGAAAGTTTATAATCCTAGAATAGGTATGGATGCTTTGCAAATTTATCCAATCAGTCAGGCTAATTCAAATCAAAGATCGGGTAGAGCTGGGCGAACTGGTCCTGGTCACTGCTACAGATTGTATACAGAAAGACAATACAAAGAAGAATTATTAATCACAACGGTGCCTGAAATTCAAAGAACCAACTTAGCAAATACTGTTTTACTACTTAAATCTTTAGGTGTTCAGGATTTATTGCAGTTTCATTTCATGGATCCACCACCACAAGATAATATTTTAAACTCCCTTTATCAACTATGGATTTTAGGCGCCCTTGATCATACAGGTATTTACCGAATGATAATTCGTTATTTAAATCTAAATTACTTTAAAGAAAATTTTTTTAAGAAGAAATATACTTCAGTAATGTAAAAAATTAACATTGGATGAAATAATATTTGCACAGGTACGTTAACTTCCCTTGGACGTCAAATGGCTGAGTTTCCTTTAGATCCACCACAATGTCAAATGCTTATAGTAGCCAATAAAATGGAATGCACTGCGGAAATTCTTATAATAGTTTCCATGTTGTCCGTACCGAGTATATTCTATCGGCCCAAAGGAAGAGAAGATGAGGCCGATTCTGTGAGAGAAAAATTTCAAGTACCTGAATCAGATCATTTGACTTATTTAAACGTTTACAATCAATGGAAACAAAATCATTACTCATCTAATTGGTGCAATGAACATTTTATTCATATAAAAGCCATGAGAAAAGTTCGAGAAGTAAGACAACAACTCAAAGATATAATGGAACAACAAAAAATTGAAGTGGTATCATGTGGAACAGATTGGGATATTGTTCGAAAATGCATTTGCTCAGCTTATTTTCATCAAGCTGCTAGACTAAAAGGTATAGGAGAATATGTTAATTGCAGAACAGGAATGCCTTGTCATTTACATCCTACTTCTGCATTGTTTGGAATGGGATACACTCCTGATTACGTTGTTTATCATGAGCTTATCATGACAGCAAAGGTATTTATCGTTTTTGAAAGAAATATAAATTTATCGTTTTTATTTTATATATAATACTCGTTTCATTTTTAGGAATACATGCAATGTGTTACTGCTGTGGACGGTCATTGGTTGGCAGAATTAGGTCCTATGTTTTTTTCACTAAAAGAGACTGGAAAATCAGGCAGAGCTAAAAGAAAACGGGCTTTAGAACATTTACAAGAAATGGAAAGTCAAATGAAAATTGCACAAGAAGAAATTAAGGCTAGAAAAGAGGAAGCTGAAAAAAGAGAATTAGCATCGCAACGAAAAACGGATATATTGACACCTGGAATCAAAGAACCTGGATCCGTTAGAAAAACCCCCGCTAGATTGGGCCTTTAATGAAACAAAAAAAAAATTGAATCATTTAACATTTTTATGTTATTACGTGACAAAAGATGTTTAATAGTAAATAATTAATTTTACTTTACAAAAAAAAAAATTATCTAGACCAAATTTGTGAATATTTAATTTTTTTATTTAAATTCGAATGGGAAGTAATTTATAATGTACAAAATTTTTACTAATAAAATTTATGCTAACATAATGAATTTTTTTTTTACGCAATATATAAAATTTATTTTATATTCAAAATATACTCTTGTTTTTTAAAATAAAATAAAAATATATGGCAAAGATTTGATATAGCGGCATATGGTAAAAAAAACTGATGTTTCTAAAAGAAAAGTTTTGGCGGCAAATTATTTCTAATTTACAAGGCTGTGATTCGTGAAGTGTAACTATAAAAAAATATTTCTCATGTAAACGTTTTTCGATGTTATGACTACTAATCAAAAACGAACTATTTATGCAGGTATAGTTTTATCATTTGTTACATTTGCATTCAGTACAATATTATTAAACAAAGTTTAAAACTTAAATAAAATTTACTTAAATTAAACTAACTAAAACTTAAAACTTAAAATTTTATAGGAGGTTTAGCCGAGGAAGTAGATGAAAATGTTTTAAATGCAGCTTTTATTCCATTCGGAGATATAATAGATATTCAAATACCTTTAGATTATGAAACCGAAAAACACAGAGGCTTTGCATTCATCGAATTTGAAAGTGCGGAAGATGCAGCTGCTGCTATTGATAACATGGTATAAAACTAATTTCTTTTAAAAAAAAAAAGATTTTACTTAACTTGTGAAATAAAAACAAATACTAAATTTAGTAAATTTTTTTAGAATGATTCCGAATTATTCGGTCGAACCATTAGAGTTAATTTGGCAAAGCCTCAAAAAATAAAAGAAGGATCAACGAAACCTGTGTGGTCTGAAGATAGTTGGCTTCAGGAACATGCTGGTAAAACGTTAAATAATGAACCGGAAAATTTTGAAAGTGGAGATGAGGATGACAAAAATAATCATGTAAATAAGGAAGATAATGATGATACTGTGAAAAAGAAAAAGGATAATGATATTACGGAATCTACTCCTAAAAAATTAAAAAAGGTTTGATAGTCAAATAATTTTTATATTTTATTTAAAAAAAAAAAAAAAAAACTTAAGTATGATATTACTTAAATACAAATTTAAAAATGGAGTTTCATAATTGCTCAAATTTCTAGAACATTTTAAAATAAGCTACAGTAATTTACCATCATCAATATTAAATTAATAATAATTATTCTAATAGGGTAAAATCAACAAAGATTAGGGTTACATTTTAATTAGTAAATAAATCAGAGCTTTGGGGTGAAACAAAATCATTACTTTGATTTAAGATTGAAATTTCGTTTACAACACTTTTCTCCATATTTTTATTAATATTGTTGACATTGTCATTATTTTTGTGAAAAGTTGACATGCCAGTTTTAGGAGTTCCCTGCAAAATAATATTTAATGTTTAATTCATTGCAAGTTTGTGGTCGCAAATATTCTTTTTAATCTGTCGACTAAAATTTTACCTCTTCCAAAGAAAAGAAATTTAGTGAAGTTTTGTAAAAATAATGATGAAGGTCTTTTCCAAGTACATTTTTATCTATTATAAAATTTTTTTTCCTGCAAATTAAACAAGAATTGTTTTTTTTTTTTTTTAAATTTATAAACATAATTTTATCGTTCATCTTAAATAAATATATATTATAATAAACATGCGGAAAGGAATCTTGAATAATTAAAATTGTAATAATAAATAAATAAATTTTTTACTTTTTTTGAGGGATAATCACTCCGAGTTGGGTCATTTTTTTAAAAACAATTTCAATTATTTTTTTTTCAACTTTTGACGAAATTATTTTTTCCATTTTTTTAAATGTTATTTTTGTTATGTCACTTCTCGTACAAAATTTAAGCATTCTTCTTAGTATGGCAAGTTTCTAATTAAGAAAAAAAAATTTTTATTCAGATAAAATTATTATAGTTGAGTTCTACTTATTTAAATGCTTTTTAAAGTGCCATAAAGTTTCATTACCTGTTGATCTCCTGAATTTTTCATATTAATTAATACTTTGTCGAAACATTTTAATTTTTTTTTCACATCATGACATAAATTACAATAAAATTTAATTTTTTCATTTGAATTAAGATGTAATATGCCGTAACATTCCTAATGAAAAAAAAAAAAAAAAAAAAAAAAAATGAAATTTGTTATTTCAAGCTATTTTATAATTAAAATTGAATTTTTCATTTTTTGTTGATAACTCATGATAGGAATTTGAGATAAAGTGCAAAAAATTTAAAATTTATCAGCTTACTGCATGAGCAAAATATTTGCATTCACAACAAACAATCATAAAGTTTGATTTTTCTGTTGACTGGCATGGACATCTTATGTTGTCATTTATTTTACCTATAATTTTGTTCCAAGTTAAATTAAATAGTTTTTTTTTTTTTTATAATTAAACATAATAATTTTATAGATAAAATCAATCTTCTTAACCACTGTTTAAATGCATTACATTATCATTAATAATTTATAGTTTAAAACAAATTGAAACTGTCAATCGATTTTAAAAATCATTATTATATATTTTTATAAGCCATTTTCATATACTTAATTATAATTATAATTTACCTTGATATTTCTTGTAATAATAATTGGGAAGTTTAGATTTTTTCATTTCTTCTGGAAGTTTTTTCTTTTTTTTTAATATTTCTAAATTTTTATATTTTTTCGATTCGATTGGCTCATTATTGGTTAAGTTTAGTTTTTTCTTAGCTGCTTGAGTTTTAGTTTTACCAAAACGAATTTTCTAAAAATATACATTGGTTAAAAATTTACAAATTTTTTTAAAATATGAAACTTATTAAACTTTAATTGTGCATTTTTTTTTAAACGAACAAGTTATTAATAGGCTCAATAAGAAGTATTATAAAAAAAAAGGGAAACTAAACAATCGATTTAAATGTTTTCCACTATGACATAATTTTTTAAATAATAATAATAATGAAAAAAACAACAACCTCCAAAAGTTTGTCATTCAAATAAGAATTATAAATAATTTTAAAAAGATGATGGTTTGTTCCTGTGATACCAATATGAGTGCTTGTTTTATCCTTTGGGATTAAATGATCAATTGATTTCCCCGTTTTTATATCCTCGAGTTTGGTATTTGTAGGAGTGTTTTCATAATAAGACAAACGTACTGAAAGAGTATATTGTGCTGGTAGGTTGTTAAAATTACTTATAGCTTCATTACACATTTTAAAAAGCTGTATTGTTTTTAATTTTGTATTTGATGTGGAAAATTCGCTAAAAATAAATATATATATCTAAATTAAAATAAATTACCCAATTTCAATTAGATTTTAAAATTATTTTAAAAGTCAATTTTCATTCTAATCGAGTTTAAATTTTTTTGTTTTTTTACCTAGAATGGTAGGTTGCTGAATCACTTGATAAAAAAAAATTTAATGATTCCGTTTCTTTTTTATAACTAAATGTCATTGTATACATTTCCAAAATCATTTTTGATTTCCAATCTTTAATGTCTAACATAAATTTCTTAAGCTACAAAAAATGAAAAAAAAAAAAAAAAATACTGAAAATAATTAATTAAAAAGCGCAATTGCCTTTAGGAATAACTTTTTTAAAAATTTTATAAGTTCAGTGATTACATACATTAATCCACTTATAAATATTTCACACAGATTGTTTATATATTTTCTCCTTTAATTTAATTTTATTAATTAATTTTGCAAAAAAATTTTTTGAAAAAAGCTAAGAATGATTTTAATAAATTTACTAACGTATTTTTTTTCAATCGCATCAAACGCTCCCAACAACCATTTTTCTACGTAGTCTATATTTTTGTTTTGATTTTCAAATTTTAAAAGATAAAATGTCACTTCATCGCAATTCACTAATTCAAAATAATTATCTGGAAATACTTTTCTTAGATATAAAATAGTTGAAATACAATTAGTTGTTAACTGCTTCATAAAAAGACATGATTTTGCTTCGGTATGAAAAGTTGAAAAAATTGTAGGCCAAGTCTAAAAAATTCATCAAGTTTAAATTTTGCATTATTTATTTATTATTCAGCAAATTTATTAATTAAATACCTCAGGTTTTGTCAAGTTTTTGGATTGCAAGCATGTGAGCGACATTCTTTTAACTAGTCTTATTACTTTGTAGAACCGTTCTGTTAGCTAGTAACGGTATTATTAAAACTTTGGCGGTAAAAAGTCGTGGCATTAAGTGCAATATGGCTGAATACGCCATAGTAAATAAGAGTTTAGTAATTTTATCTCGTTACTGTTTTTTTTTAAATAGTACCTCATTATATAAATTTTTATATTTTTATATTTAAAAAAATATAATTCTAGTACAATACAGTGTGTCTACTTTGGTTAGATGTCATTGGTTCTATGGCCATTTTAGTATAATTAAAATATTTCCATGTTAATGAAAAAAAGCAGTTAAATGATGTCAGAAAATACTGTATTAGATAATGATCAAAACTCAAATCCCGATTCAGAAGATAACTTTGGACCCCTGCCTTTAGTTAATGATGGTCAAGATCTTACTGAGAAAAATGAAAAAACGGATCAAGGAGCATCTGAAAACGCCAATAAAAGGAAAGTTGAGGAGCATGTTGATAAAGTGGATGATGAAGAATGGGTAGGTCCATTGCCTTCTGAAGCAGCTTCGTCCATGCCTACAAAAAAACGAAAAGTTTTAGAACATGAGCATTTATATTTAAATAATTTACCGTGGTGTGAAACTTATGAAAAAAGTTACATGCACAGGGACGTTATAACTCATATTTTGTGTACTAAAACAGACTTTATCATAACAGCCAGTTGTGATGGTCATGTTAAATTTTGGAAAAAAATGGATACTGATATAGAATTTGTTAAGCATTTTCGAAGTCATTTAAGTAAGTTGAATAATAAGTGTGATTTTGAATTAAAATATTTGAAAAAATAATAAATTACTCACTAGAAAGGAAGGAATAAATGAAATGTAAGCAATGTATAAAGTTTTATTTTAAGAGTAATATATTGTTGTTTCATTTCCAGGTGCTATAAATGATATGGTTGTTAATTCCAATGGATTATTTTTATGTACTATTTCAATGGATAAGTCAGCCAAGGTTTTTGACGTCATGAATTTTGATATGATTAATATGATGGAATTAAATTTCGTACCATACAGAGCTGAATGGATTCATAGTCCACGTGAACCAATATTTACAATAGCAATTTCAGACATGGCATCAACTAATATTTGCATTTATGATGGAAAAGGAACAAATATTCCACTTTTAATTATTGATAATATCCATGCTAATCCCATAGTTGTTATGAAATATAATGTTAAATATGAAACTGTAGTTTCAGTGGACAAAAGTGGCATTATTGAATACTGGGGAACGGCTAAATGTGATTATCAAATGCCAAAATTTTTAAAATTTGAATCAAAGTTGGACACAGATCTGTTTGAGTTTGCAAAAAATAAAACTTATCCTGTAGATATATGTTTTTCAAAAGATGGAAAAAAATTTGCCACCATTGCATTAGATAGGAAAATAAGAGTTTTTAGGTTTTTAACTGGAAAATTAATATTAATTATTGATGAAACATTATCTAGATTTACTGAATTACAACAAACGAGACAACAATTACCTAATATGGAATTTGGTAGAAGAATGGCTGGTGAAAGGGATTTAGATAAATCTGAAGCCATTCATTTAACAAATATTTTATTTGATGAAAGTGGTAACTTTATTTTATATGGAACCCTATTAGGAGTTAAAATAATAAATATTATCACCAAAACTTGTGTCAGAATCTTGGGTAAACCTGAGAACCTTAGACCTTTAAAAATTGCTTTATTTCAAGGATATGGTAGAAGAAATAAGGCAGCTGTAACTGTTGAATTGGAAGCATCGGAAAACCCTACTTTAGAAGCTATTAAAGCTGACCCAACTTTATTTTGTACAGCTTTTAAAAAAAATAGGTAAATAATTGTAAAAAAAAAAACAAAATTGAATCTTAATTCAAACAATAATTAAGTGAGACAAAAAAAATTTTTTTATTAAGCCTTAAACTTACTATTAAATATATGCTTACAGGTTTTATATGTTCACCAAGAGGCATCCAGATGATAACAATAAAAATGGAGATACGGACAGAGACGTTTTTAATGAAAAACCATCTAAAGAAGATGTCATATCGGCTACGGAGTCATCTGGATTTCAAAGAGTTTATGAGAATGCAATCATTCATACTGAAATGGGTGATATTCACATAAAATTATTTGTTAAAGAAGCTCCTAAAACATGTGAAAATTTTTGTGTGCACAGTAAAGAAGGGTATTTTAACGGCCATATTTTTCATAGAGTAATTAAAGGTTTTATGATACAAACGGGTGATCCAACAGGTAATTCGAAACAAAATAAATATTAAATTAAATTATTTTTAAAAAGAAATTAAATTACCCATATTTATAAAATAAAATAAAAAAAATTAAATTTTCAGGTACTGGTACCGGTGGCGAAAGTATCTGGGGTGGAGAATTCGAAGATGAATTTCATCCAAAAATTAAACACGACCGTCCTTATACATTGAGTATGGCAAATGCAGGACCAAATACAAATGGAAGTCAGTTTTTTATCACAGTCATTCCGACACCTTGGCTCGATAATAAGCATACTGTTTTTGGAAGAGTATTTAAGGGAATGGAAGTTGTTCAAAACATTGGAAATGTGAAATGCAATCCCAAAACCAATAAGCCTTATGACGACGTGAGAATTGTCAGCATTAGTTTAAAATAAAACATGTTGCAATATATTTGAAAAAAAAAATACAAATAAGTTAAAAATTTTTATTTCAAGGCAGATCTGGCAAATTGTACAACAAGTGGTTTATCTTTCAAAATATAACCATTTGTTTCTTTTAAGGCTTTTTGAGCAATTTCCACAGTTTGAAGAGTTATGAATGCTTGACCTTTCATTCGTCCCTCTTGCATTAATCTTATATCAAACCTGTGAACAGATTAATAAGGTTAAAATAATTTAATGCAAACTAAAAATTTTATGCTTATTTAAAAACTTAAAAGACTAAAATGTTTTACATACATGTTCAGCTCATTAAGCGTATCAGGAGTTAAATATTTATTGTAAATATATCTTAAATCGCTATCTGTAACAGTCTTAGCTAAATTTTT